GCCAGATCTAAGGAGCCAGAGAGCGTTCAGCTCCTTTTTGCCTACAAAAGAGCAGCCAGACAACCAGCAAGAGGCCTTGGATGTAGCACAAGGTGATACTTACTTAGTCAGCCTTTCTTTTTTTCAAATATATATTTTTTTCATTCAGTAAACTGAGTTTCTCAATTTCACAATGACACGAGGAATTAAATTATCAATGGATTGTTTTTCTACAGCCAGCATTCGTCACACCAGCAACAGTGTACCATGTGAATTGTAGGTTTTCCAGAACAACATGGTTTATACTAAAAAAAAAAAAAAAAAAAAAAAATTAAAAATTGCTGGCTAACATTTCTTTAAAAATACCTCCTAGGTTTAAGGAAATGTTTTCCATTTTACAGCCACACAACCCCATTTTATTGTGAATTTGGGAGGCTTTTTTTTCTTAAAGGGGACAGGTTTGTTAAGACATTGTTTGTGATTCTTAGGGTTTTAGACTTTGGGCTACTTCTGGTTTCATTCTGTCTTGCCTCATTAGTCCATCAGTGCCTGCTTTTTTATGCAGTCCACTGCTTCTTTATGACAAGTCATTTGATACTTTTTGTGATATACATTCATGAAAAAATATTTTCAAGCTACATACAGTTTATTGGTAGTAAGGCAGCTGATGTAGGTGCCAGGCAGAAGGCAGAAAATATCCAAGATGTTTATGGCTTTCTTTGCTGACCGTTTCCTATGATTTGAGTAGCCACAGAAATCCAAAGCCAATGCACTTTTATTTATGTCGAGTGTTCCCTGCTTAGCAATTCATATTTTGCTCGCTACCTGTCTATTTTGAGCTGTTCTGAAACGGTAGTAGAGACCGAACATAAATGTGGTCCCCAGGGTGATCAAAGATTTAATCTGACCAGATGGGACAAACTTGAGAAAGATTTTGACTTTCCACTCTGGTTTGCAACAAGAAAGGCTGATTTTTTTTTTTTTCTCCCGTCCTTTCTTTGTTAGAAAAGGCAGAGATCAGGCCATCCCCAGAGAAATGAGCAGGTGTGGCCATTTACAAGCATGTCTGGTTATATTATAAACTAACATAAGAAAAGTTTGAAATGGTTTGAAAAGATCTGCTAAACAGTTTTAATGTTTCATCCCAAATCCTATTTACTCAAACAAGAGCTGATCAAGGTCACAGTAAAACCCAGCCTGCCCAAACCTTTAAAGCTCGTGTAATTTTTTTTTTTTTTAATTTTTTTTTATTCTGTCTTCTCTACGAACTGAATAGGTACATTTTGGTAATCCTTGCCTCTGGACAAGCACAGAAGTCTTTTTCTTTCTGAATGGCTAATAACAGAGCCGTTCTTCCTGTCTAATGATGAAAGAGGTGGCAGTCAAGTTCTTTCTCTTAGATGTACTGGGAACTCGGGGCAGACCATGGACAATTTTGAAACCTACAGCTATGGGAATCACTCCCCCTCATAGGTACAATTCTGGTTTAATTTTGTTGCCCTGGAGTATCGCTAATTTACCGCTTCCCCCCCACCCCCCCCCCCCGCCCCAGTCTATGGACACGGTAAAGAAGTTTCTTTTTTAAACATCAAATAAATGCAGCTCACGGGATTATATTTTTTTATAGGGAGAGGATAATATGTTATCAGACTTCTAGTGTAAACTTGGTGTGGATCCTCCCAAAATTCTGCCAAAAGATGGCTGAAAATCCCTGGCAGAGGTTGTGGGGTTTTTTTGAAAATGCAAGAAGTTGCAGAATTTTTATTGATTTGACGAAGTGGGTTTTATGGGGTTGGTTGGGTTTGGGTTTTTTCCCCTGCAAGACTCCACTACTCCCAATATTTTACTGAGTTGGTCAGCTCTCAGCTTCTGCCACCACCGAGCGACATCGCTGGCCGGGTAATGATCTCGGAAACTGCCCCGCCAGTGTTTCACATTCGAATTCATCTTGCCAAATCCACGGCATCATTTTTGGCCAAAGTAACGTCAGTCATTGCTGTCTGCGGTGAGTACAAAAAGGACCCCCTAATGGCAGCCATTTTTATTTGTTCCTTAAGATCCAAAGGCTGCTGAAAGAACAATTGGATAAAGTTGAGGATTGGAGAAGCTTGATTTTCTTGTTCCAGTGAAATGAAACTCCCGTCCTTTTTTTCTTCCGCTTCCCCTTAAAAGCTGGAGTCTGCTAGGGGGTTGTAGCTGTGTCAAAGCCGTTGGGATGCCACTGCTGATCACTTTAATTACTAGGACTAAGGAGGATAAAATTAAAAGTAGCACCATTGAAGCAGTGGAAGAAAGCTTGCCGAGATGTCGGTGAACTGTGAAATATAAAAATTGCATACCAATACATTTTTATAGGAGGGAAACAAGGAATTACATTACTTATTCTTGAAGAGTTTGTCCTTAAATGGTGAAGTTTTCCTCGCTGTGCATCTGCATGGCAGATCTTTAGACCATTACAAAGTAATTGGGAGGAAAATAACAGAGCAAACTTTAACGTCTCCTCGGTATGTCAGGCTCATGTCAGAGGCTGAAAGATTTTAGTGAGTTTTCTCTTCAACTGTACAGGAAAAAAATCGCAGTATGTGTGTTTGCATGCTCCTTTCTTGGTGCGGAGCTTCTCTTCGTGTCTCCTTTTTTTTTTTTAATAGCTATGTTCATGCCTCCATACCTCTCCCAAGCGCTTTCCTTTCCAACATCTAGGGAACTGATTTGCTGTTTAATTACTGTTTTGTACCTCGAAAGCTTAATCTACCTACTTTTTCTGCTCTGAGTTCCAGTGTTTCCTCTGCCAAGCTCAGTAACCGAAGGTTCAAATACCTGAATTGAATTTAAGCAAGAACTCGGCTGGTTTTTCTCTTATCCGCTGGTGATGATTGGCTTAATCAGCACAAACACAAGCCACAATAATCTGTGTTTGCTTGGAGATCCCCGGGATGTTAATGACTATGCTAATAATTCAGGATACAAGTTCTCTTTCAGGAGGAGGGGAGAAAAGGAGAGGGGGGAATCAGCCTGCTCAGTTTAGGGCATTTTTGTCACAAACACTTAACTGGCCTTATTTTACACTACATGTGTTATAGTAGATTAAATTGTTTGACGCTAAACCGCATGGGAATCTTAATACAAATTTTGCACATTCCTTCTTAAAAGTCATTTAAATCAAAACCACAAGTTCCTCTATCCCGGGAATTACAAATAGTAGAGATTTGAGCAGGTTTATTTCATGTAAAATTCAATGTAATTAATGTTACCGAATACCGCGGGTCAAAATAAAGTTGGTCGCTGTGTCAGTTGGCTGCCTGGAAATTACATGAAGTTGATCTATTATCGTGCATAGGAGCAGGGGGGAAGCTTTCCAGTTGTCTTCCTAATGTGTACTTTACCAAATAAGTTTTTGATAAAACTGTTGCTCCGTGCCTTCTGGGAAGTTAAAGGGTGAGAAAGCAAACAAAGCCAGTGTGCCATCCCGCTGCCTTGCAGGGCCCAGGCAGAATTGCCTTTCCAGGGGAAGGACATTAGGAGAAAAGTAAATCAAGGCAATCTGATAGGGAATCAAGGTTCTGTCACTCAGAGACAAGATATTGTGCTGTGTCCATATACTTTGTTTACTGTAGGGTTTTATGAGTTGTAACCTGCCCATGCAAGCTGTTAATGAGGCTAAATCTTGCTGCTTGAGGATTGAATTACAGCACACCTCTGGGCTAATGGTTATAAACAGAACAGTCCCATTAGGGCTGCATTCTGATTCAGTCATTTGCATTTTTTCTATTGTGCCGAGAACAATGCTGAGTAAATAGCTACAAACAAACAATTTACATGGAAATGGGTAAAATGTACCTAATTAGTATTTTGCGCTTGTTTTATTAATGATTGCTTAAACTAAATAGCACTTAGCAGCAGCTCTCACCAGCATCTGCAGGTGTGGGATGCTCGGTTTCTGGGTCGGTGGGAAGGCTGCCAGGATGGTTCTCCAACATTAGGCAGTTTGTTATATTCCACTTGGTTCAGGTCAACTGCCCATACCTGGGTTTTTTCGTGGCCATTATATCAATGATACAAGCTTCTCGGCAGATTTGACTTAAAGCCAAACTCTGACTTTGTTGCGCTTCTGAGCGTTTCTGATATTGAGGGGAGGGGGGAAACTTTGAAAAAATTGTATTTTTAAGGTGAAAATGGAAATTGTTTCCCTTATAATTTAATGGATTCTTATAGATATGTTTAAACACGTATTTTTATTAATATTTTTTTAGTATGGTGTGTTAGTCTTTTCCAAAATTTCATGCTCTAGAACTTTACTCATTTATGTAGCTGAAATATTATCAAGCTTCTAAGATAGTTACGAGCTTTAGTGGGACAGCACTATCTTGGATGGTTCCACTATGATCTCTTTAATGACTGACCAAAGTCCCACTAGCAGGATGTTGTAAAGTGATGCAAAGTCTCTTCTGATCTGGCATCTATTGTTCTTTCATTAATTTTCATTAGTTTGTTTAAAAAAAAAAAAAAGAGCTATATCCATTGAAGTCAAAGGATTGGATTCCTTTCCATGCCTCAGATTCGATGTCACATTACGCTTTGAAGTCAGCTGGGTGATTGGAGTAACCGAGAGCAACACTGGCTTCTTATGTCAGTTCTATGAGAGAATATTACTCAAACAAGTAATTCAATTTAGTAAAACCATTTCTATAGCCACGGTGAAACTTTTTGTAGTTATTACTTTGAGACGGAGGTGTCTGAGGATTTTCATCAAGGTATTTTTATAGAACATAATTTATAAATGCTTTAAAATTGCAAATAATTAGGTTTCTAATGCATTAATAATTTGGGGAATGCTTTAAAAAAAACCTGATTCATGGATGTCTTTAAAAATTGTGGTGTGACACCCAACTGATATCGAGCATCCTATTTATAATGTGGGCCAAGCACTATGCTGTAAACCAGTTACTATCATGATGATCAGATTGAGAATGAAATTGCATTTCTGTCAATTACTGAGTTGGCAACTGTTCAATATATCTTAGCAGCAAGATGAAGAGCGGCGTCGGCAGCTGAGAGAGAGAGCTCGTCAGCTAATAGCAGAAGCTCGATCTGGAGTGAAGATGTCAGAACTTCCTAGCTACAGTGAAATGGCTGCAGAAAAGTTGAAAGAAAGGTCAAAGGCATCTGGAGGTGAGCTGCGGAACCTTGTATCTTATTCCTATGGCAACCTAGAAACCAGAGACTTTTTGGGTGTCACTTTTATTCACACTTCAAAATGTTGTTTTTCATCAAGTGCATATATCAAAAGACTTAGCTGTAGATGTTTCCTAAATCAGCGTTGTATCACTTAAATTCCATCAATTAAAAGAAAAGCACATATGTGACTGAAAGAAAAAGATGTTATGCAAATGAGTAGCTCATATTGGCCTATTATTTAGAGATTTATCATTACACACAGTTTTTTAGAGTTTTATGATTGTTGGTTAAAATCCCTTCAATATATATTTTTATGTAGGAGCATGGACATGATTTGGGGGGAAAACAACATAGAAATACTTAAGAAACTTTATTTTGTATTAATTGTGTTCCAAAAACTGCTTGGGAAGAGAATTTTAAAGGTGGCCCACAGGAGGTGAGGGCACCAACCTTTTGATTGTAAATGGCAGTCTTTTGACATACCACTTGCCTTTACAGGTTTTGAGTTGTAATATTGCTATAATGTTATTAAACTGACTTTGAAATGTCATTAAAATTCATATACCTGCCAGTGCTACGAGATGGAGTAATGTAGTGTCACTCAAACTCAAATGAGTGCTGAGCACACATTTCAGTACAGGCTTCTTGCTCTTTTAGTGTCTTCTACATATTCTGAGGGGAAATTGTGTTTCCTATACTAACATGTAATTGTAAGCCAAAGTGTCAGGGAAATCCAGCTTTACATTCACAATGCATGTAGATTCAACAGCAGTATTTTTTTCTTCTCTACTACATATATTTTTTTTATGCATATATATTTAAATATAGTCTCTCTGCACCCTAAACCCTACACTTCTTTTCCATTTAACACCAAAGAGAAAAGCAGTTATTTGTACATCTCCCTTTGGGTCTGGTCTTCACTTTTCCTTTCTTTGCCCAGTAAACCAAGCTTGCCAACATAACTCTCTTTCATGATAAATAGGGAAATTACACCCTTGATGGGGAGGGAGTAAGGCAAGCTGAGCGAAATGGCACAGTACTTGTATGTTAAGTAGACTATGGTGTTCTTCATCCCTCTTCACAATTTATGACTCCCCATCCTTACGATACTCAGTTACTTCCTCCTCACTGTTTTATCTTGCCTGTACATAGCTCTTTCTGCTATCTCTCCCCTCCAAGTAAGGTACACTTTCTGGGTATATCCTGAGTGCTCAGCTGGACAGTAGTTATGCTTTTTGTCACAGTAACTCACTTGTAGTGTTGCTAAATATCCCAGTATGCTGCTTTCAGGGATGTGGCCTTCCCTTGTTCAAATTTTCCTCTGAATTTTGCCATTGCTCTTCCTGCCCTTTGTTCAGTTTATAAACAGTCTCAGAGGTAACTATGCACAATGCATATATATTAAAAAAAAAAAAAATTATATATATAGATTGCATATGCACTCAGAGAGCTTCAGTGTTTAATAACAGGAGGAGACAGTATCAATACTGATGACAACTTGTTTGTAAAGTTATCACCACTATACTTGTTGAGTTTTATCCAGTATAACAATTTCGCTGCTTTCTACTTTTGCATGTGCTTTGAGTGATCTCCTTCGTTTATGTTTCCTACCTTGATTTTTCTTTGTTCATACAGTAGGTTGGCCAAGCTATCTGAACTTCTCTTGGATTTCCAGTTTTCGTTCCCTGTCTCCTTTTATTCCCCTTTGCTCTTTTCATGTCAACGTGCATTTTATAGCACTTCCTTCTGCTTATTCATTCTCAGAAAGCTTTCCTTATTGCATGTCTTCCACATACTTCTACCACACCACTGGTAATGTCAGGTGCCACATTAGGTCTCCACTCAAGAAATTCAGTCTTCTAAAATGGAGTAGTTCTATGAAATGGCACCAACGCTTTATAAACCACATAAATTACAATTATTTCTGGGTTTAGTCTTTTTCATGTTTTGATTTCCACCAAAAATTAGGGTTTAATAGACAGTCTCCTTATTACAACTGGGTTCTGGATATTGCCCCTGACTGCATTCACTTGTAGTAGTTTTTTTTCTGTGTATAGTCCTGCATTCCCTATATAATACCCAAGGCAAGCTTACAGTAATATATCTTCCAAGCTCTCTTGTCCATTATGCTGCCTTAATATCTTCTCCTGCACTGATTGCTACGTTTTAATTTACAAAAAGAGAATATACCAAATCATTTTCCTCTCTCTCAATTAAGTTACTCTAGAAAAAAGTGACATTTCAGCTTTGGGATTTTGGAGTTTTTAAAGACTAACTTCTTGCTCACTAATGTAGGTGAAAATGTGATCTCTTTCACTGTTCCTGTGTGCTCATTAAGAGTTTCATGCTTTGGCACTGGTGCTACACTCTCTGTTAAAAGGCTTTATTTAATAATGGGTCTGAAAAACTCAAACAGCTATAGCAAGTTCAAACTTTCCTGGATAAAGAGCATCCTTTTCTACGAAATCTAGTCTTTTTCATAAGTTATTTGGCATATGAGACAGAAAATACTTCTTCCTGCCAACTGCCAGAGGGTTTGGGATGGCAGCTTCAAATTTATTAGATGTCCTACTAGCTTCAGGCTGATAAGCAGATGCCTTGAGATGGGTCCAGGTATAGTATTGTGATAGGAATCCAAATATCCTCCCTTTTCCCAGCAGCAACGGGACAAAGGAATTGACATCTTATCTAGGCATTGTCCCCATGCAGTGGAACACCCGTCTACTCTTTTGGGATTTGGGTAGTGTGTTTTCTTTACTCTGGCACATCTCCATCCTTTATTTGAGACAGTGTCTTTGTGAGTATGTGGCTCAGATCTGGAGATGGTGAGTAAGCAGTGGAGGGAGGGAAGAATGGCGAGGACAGGGGGTAAGACAAGCATAGTGTGAAGAGGCTTTGGTGAAAAAAGTGCCAAAAAAAGGCAAAACTGGGAGGGAAGAAGAGAGTGAACACAAGAACGGCACAGAATACAGATGTTGGAAGAGCAGGAAGGGAAAAACACAGGAGAAGCATCATCCAAATGTATTGTAAGACAAAAAAAGTTTTTGAAAATTTTGGAATTAATAACAAAAGCTAGAAATGCATACTGCATTTAAAAAACTTACCAAAGAGAACCAGCTGGCATTGCGTTGCACTTCTATGCTTAAAGTTTCAGGGTACATTACAGATTTTACTTCTGAGGCAATGATTTGGTGGGAATGTGCATGCTAGCTCAGGCTTACTCATCATGTTTAGTCTCCGATGCATAAGTCAGTGTTAAGTCCTCATTTTAATATTTTTAACAGTATTTGTATCTGTTGGCAGTTACTGCTGTGCTTTCTTGTCCTGACATCTGATTTCTTGTACACTGAACCAGTATTTTGACTCTGCATTTCTTCCATTCCCCACCTTTTCTTCCTTTATTACTGTTCAGATGTTCTTGTCACATCCTGTAGCCTTAAAGTGAACTCTGTACCTGAAAGTAAATAAACTAAATATCTGACTATCCACAAGCTTGAAGGATTTCCCAGAGACAATCCTGGAGGATCTGCCCTAAAGAGCAAGTAGTGTTCATGCAACTCCAGTGGCAGCCTACATATGCTTCTCCTGCTAATGGGATCCAACGCCTATCAATTCTTCTACCTTTCTATGAAAATTGTTTCTTTTTAATTTCATCTAGAAATAGATACAGTCTACTGCAATTCCTTCAGATGTGGACAAGCTTAAACCAACTCAAGAGAGTATCAGTTTAACCACAAATTAAGCCTGAGCCTAATCTGGATAGTAAGACAAATGAGCTATAAAATGCCTCTGGATCTTTTTTCCATCGATATTCTGGCATTTCCATTTGCTTCCAAAAGATTCTTATTTTGCTCTCTTCAGTCCAGACTGTGTAGGTAATGGTCAGTGCCGTTTAGTTGTGGACTTAATCCTTTATCTTTAATTTTGTTAATTTCTTCATGACATAGTAGAGCTTTGCTGTCTTTCTAGGATCCACATTTACATACTTTTCAAGGAAGCAATTCTTTAGTACTCTTCTAAATACATGCCCTGGTTCTAGACCAAGTGCTTTAAGTTTTTCACGCTAGTAATTTCTTCTTTTCATGAAAGATATCTGTTATCTCTTCGTCATGTTGTTCCTTTTATCATTTATAATTGCAAAATCTTGTTGTAACATGCTCCCTAAACACATTTCCCTTTTTAATACACTGGAAGAACATTGGACTGGGAAAAAAAACCTAAAGTGTTTAAAACAAGGAATCTGTAGATTTTTAAAGATACTTGAAAATTTCTGAAATGACTTCAAATGAATGCTTTTAATTGATTTTTTTTTTTTTAATAAAGTGTACATGTCCTGATAATTATATTCAGTCAAAGCCTTCCAACTTTAAATTAAATACTAGGTCAGGTCATTATCTGACACTAGGAACTGGTGTTTTTGACATTCCCATCTCTTTTGTTACCTAAAATGGTGGTGTCAAAGACAGTGCCTCTGATCTCATCTTGCTATATTAAATTAAAGAAAATCAAATAATCTAAGTATTCCCTTAGTATGCAGCAGTCTTAAATCCTGTCATCTTGTTTAGATTGTTTTGACATAACCAGCATCCTGCTGGATGACTGGTAGTTGTGAGCCGACCTTGTGAGCTGACTTCTTTGGGTGCTTTGGAAAGTCATTGCCTGCCTGTAGGCTCGAGGTGGATTTGTTTTCCCTCTGCCGCGGTGGCGTCCCTCTTTCTTTCTCTTTCACCTCTTCCAAATGTCCATGGCCCTTTGCTGCTGTTAGCCCAGTCATGCTTTCAGTGTGCCACCGTGAGCTCCAAGCTGCGTTTGAGAGTACCATGGCCTGAGTGCCACTGAATTTCTCTTGACACCATCATGAAGATTTAAAATCTTGTGAGAAGTCTAGCTCCTTATTATAAAAAGTAGAGATGCTTTGAAGAAAATTCAAAACTTCAGAATTGTTGCTGTTGCTGCTTTACCATTCTCTGTTCTCTCTTCAATCTGCTTTTTACCCCAGCCCTTTCTCCATGATGATCACACTGTGCCCTTCTACTTTGTTCACCTACCTCTGGGCTACCTGGAACAACTAGAGTCCAGATCACAGAACCATCTGTGTGGACTTAAGTGGGAACAGAAAGGATGTCGCAGAGAGTCCTGAGTGTTTCTGCCCACCCAGTTGTATACCTGAAGCACCATCTGTCGGGTCCCAGGTCTGGTCGCACATCCTGGTTTGGCTGGGGAGAGATGTTTTTCTCCATCCATCTGGCTCAAGCTGGGGCAGTTTGGAAGAAAGCGGACTCTTCCAGGGACCATTGAGAATTAGTGGAGAGGAGCCCAGGGAAGTCATGGTGGTCAGCTGAAACAGAGGGGTCCTACTTCACGGATTGCTGCTCCATCATACACGCAACAGCTGTTGAATAAGACACTTGAAATGGAAACTTCTCTGCTCCTGTCTGTCGCAGCAAGAGCTTTACCCTGAATTGGCAGAGGTCTGTGAAAGACATTGATTAATTACACAGGAACTAAGGGAGCAATTGGTTAGAAGAGAGTAGCAGAGATATAAAAAAGTCAACAGGCTCCTAAAATGGGCATTACAAGGACTGTGGAGATAAAGAGGTAAAGAAAAGAAACAACTGTATGACCTTCGTGTCAGCAGTGTGGGCCTGAAGTGCAAACTTCATGTCTGGGGATGAAGTTTAGTGTCTTTCAAGGACAGATGACAAGTCATCAGCACCAATCCTGGTCCAAACTTCCGGTATTCAGGATTATGGCATCCTGGTGCTATGTTTAGGATCCTTTTTGTTTATATGGCGTTTGAATGTACCAATGTCCTGTAATTGTAATTAGTGTTTTTTCCTGTTGTGGAGTGTTTTAAAGTACCTTTAGTTACTATACATGTCTTCTTTCTGCAGCCTTCTCTTTCTTCTCATATTTACACGCATGCATACATACCTAGGAAAAAAATGTTCGTATAAGTCTGAACAAGTGTAGATAGCGTTTGATATGAGACTTAAAAGTGAGTAAATACAATGCAGCTACGTGCTTTGAAAGTAGTAATCTAGCTTTTATGGAGTTTAATTACATTATATATTTGTATTGAAAAATATGAGTCAGGATTTTTTCTGGGATCTGCTTCACAATTCAGCACTTGCTATGTGATATTCCTCAAGTTACTTACTCTTTCTGTGCCATAATTTACCTACATCACCATCATAATTGTAATTATTATAATCGCCTACTTTATAAAACATTATGGGGCTCATTTACAAGTGATATTCATAAGCTGCTCTGAGAAACTTGGTAAGAAGATCCCATAAAAATATAAAATATAATTACAATTATTATTTTATTTAAAATGTTTGGAGCTTACAAACAATGCTGATTCAAAGTGGTGCAGTAAGGCAGCAATCTGTGAGTGTGCTCTTGCTACACCTGAGGTCAGCGCTTGCTAAGCGTGATGTTCCAGGTGGTAGGTTTCCTCCTCGTGTCAGAAATGGTAGGAGACGCTAACACCTAAGCAAGATACAGCGATCACCGGTCTGTGATATATTGTGCAAAGTAAGGAGTAGCAAGTCTCGCCAAGCTGGGAATTCAGTGCCCAGAGCTGCTGCCTTTCTCAAGAGACTGCAGCTCCCGAGTCCTTCCGTTGGCCAGGCCCGTCCAAACCCACTGTATGCAGGCACTGGCATTCATTCTGCATTATAGAGAGCTGGGAGCCTAGGGGAAATGATTCTGACTCAAGTTATAAGGAAAAGCACGTGTGCTTTTCAGAGTTAGCCAGAGATTCAGCACAGAGAGCAGCCACCGCTGAGGCCAGACTCTGCCTTTATTGTAGCAGGAGTTTCCAGCAGAGCCCCCTGTGTGTATATTGAATTGCATCAGTTTAAAGATAAATCCATGAGTGGACAGAGTGAAATCTCCTTCCAGAGTTATTTAATGATTTGCATTTTTATCATAATTTAGCTTGTTCTCTAAAGCATTCTTTTTTTTTTTTTTAGTGATACGGTGCATGTATGTAAGAAAATACTAACCTTAATGCTGTATGTTCCTACAGATGAGGATGAGGATGATGATAATATTGAGATAGATACTAACGAGGAGGTTCCTGAATGCTCTGTTACTGGAGGTGGAGATGAGCTTACTAACCTAGAAAATGACCTTGATTCAACGGGTAATTTAAATAATGGCTATTTTGTGTATTTTGCATGACTAACACTCCATCATCATATAAGTACTGATGTGCTGCTTCTCTCTGTCATAGCTTTCTTCCTTTGTGCTTTTTCAGGGCTTTTAAACTCTAATGCATATTCTTTTTGAATATTTTGCATTCATGTTTAGTTGAAATTTAAAATCAGCAACAAAACCGTTATTTCCAACAATGGCAGATTTAAATGTCTCTTGCTGTTTGATGGGGGAGGGGACCCCAGGCCAGATTTGTAAAGCAGAGCCGCCTGAAATCACCCTACCTGGATTGTCCCAGCAAAGCACAAGGTAGGCAGGCCAGAGGAGTGAGCAGTTGCCTTGGTGAGTACAGCTGCCACTCTCTGCACTGATGTCCTGGTCCACATGCTTAGCGGAATGAACATGTCTCTAGGTTTCTCGGTAGGCTTGGTATCCCTCCAGTTCCTTCTTGAGGACCAGGTCTTGTATTTATACCTTGCTGCTCCAGTGAGGACATGGAGGTATAAATTTGAACAAAATTAGTCCTATTTACTTTACAAAGTTCAAGTAATATATTTTTAATAACACATTTTAAAGGCATTCGTATTCTTGTAGAAATGCTTGTATAATCTTAGCACATGCTGATCAAGTAATAATAAATCATAGTAGTGGTGTTTCCCCTTTGAAAAATTGTCATCGAGCAGAACTGGAGTTCAGGTCCCTCCATAGATGATAAATATATCAGGATCTTACTAGGGAGATGCTTATTTAAAAAGGTGCTAGATCTTCAAAGACATGAAGGTAATTGCCCATCAGTAAGGGGCTCCTCCGCTCAGAGAGTTGCTGAAGGAGTTTGTTCTCTGTACAAGTCCGCCCGTTACCAGTGGCCCTGGGGCTTGTTGAGGGACTCTTTGTAGTATGCTGCGCTTCTCTGCCAGCGCGTTTCTGCTCCCCGCACGTTTGCTCAAGCCTGGAGAAGTGTGGCGAGCACAGGACAGCGTCGGCATAAAGGCAGGACAGGAGGGAACTTCTTACAGCATCCTCCGACTTGGTTGTGCCCATGCCAGCTGGACCCATGTTTGTAGCCCCTAATATCAAAAGACTTCATTTAGTGTTCGCTCTTTGTAAATTAAACCAACAATTATGTGTATATAGTGCTTGCTTTCTAGTCTTCTTTTTTTTAATGTGAAAGATTTCAGTCATGTCTCTTACTTTATTTGAGGATTTCCAAACACGAAAGAAAATATATTTAGTATTTAATATATCTATATATGCAATATGATACATTTCCAGCATTTGAATTAAACTAATTTAGAGCAGAATCCTGTCAAATAATTTTCCAGTAAATACTGGTTCATTTTAGGAGAAACAGAAAATCAGTAAATGAATATTTCTGTCGCATAGTGCCAGTGACCTACCAACATCCATTTCTATGGGGCTTTTTTCTTGAGAGAGACCTTCTCAGGCATACAAACCCACTACCCAACGCTTTAGCTCCACCATGGGAAGACATTCAGGAAAAAACCTGGGACATCATTTTGCAGTTCAGTTTGCACAGGAACCAGAGGGACAAACGAGTAAGGAAGGGGATGGGCAATAATACAGAAAGCAGTCTAATGCTGTGATACAAATCAGTGTACAGATTTTGGTGGGATTCTGCCAATTCATACCAAGTTCTAATGAAGGCTGAATCTCCTGGGAGCACCTAAACACAAAACTGTAAAGGGCATTTCACATTTGGGATCATTATGACCATCTTAATTAATTTGTCCCCTGCTGAATCTTCGTCTCTCCCATCTCTCTCAAGAGGAGAAATTTTTTTTTTCCATTTTTACTGCCAGTTGTTGGTTTGAAATATTGCATCTGTCTGTGTTTGTCAGTACTGCTACCGTACGCTGCTGTGAATGTATCTGATAAAATGTGAACCTCTTATATCATAGTTATTACATGATGTTTATGTATAAACCCACGAGAATGTGCATGTACTTACATGTGAGCCTCAATTGAGGGCACCCTGACTGGGTGTGCCAGAGGAAAGGGAAACTATCCTTCGTCATAACCCAGCCCAGCCCATTGCTGCTGGAGGCAGGCATCATTTGACTGCCAGCATGCCAAAAATATTTTGGCTAACATGAATCGGAGTGCTCCAAACCTTGGCAAGAGCTGTGCGGCAAAACAGTCATGGCTCCACTTCCCACACCAGCTGGAAGTTACCAGCCTGCAGTGAAAAACTCAGGCTGTGCCTATAGAAAAACACAGCAGCTGCTATTTTCTCTGTGTTTGACCCAAGGCCCAGATGTACGTGCATAATATAATGCAGGTGATGCTGCATTCGCGCTGTTTCGGGGGCGATTTCTCACGTGGTGCTGCATGTAGAATATGTCTGGGGGCTTCTGTGCCAGCGTTATTCTGCCTTCCTACCCAGGGTTAGCTCCATAAATTTGCGCTGTGGTTTGTTATTAACACCTTTCTCCTTATTATGTGTGTATGTGTAGGTAACTGTGTGTGTAGGTGTGTTACAAATTCATATAGTCAACGGTCACGTACAGAATGAGCATTATTGGGAGGTAAAATTCTCGACTCTTATTTCTTTGGGCTCTGATCCAAGTTGCTAAAACTGATGACAAAAAATTTTGGGGCTTTGGCAGACTTTGAATCTGTCCCTTCGACGCAGTTACGAAGGCATTTTACAGCTCTTCATGGCTTCAACGTACTCTATAAATCATAGTAAATATTACTGGAAAGCTGTCTCGTTTGATACTGAAATTTTAACGCTGAGGAGCTGTGCCAAGGAGCCTTGGGATGAATTAGGAATTCATAAACTTAAGGGGTTATCAGTACTTAGAATATGCGATAAATTGTTATCTGTCATCATAAAATAAATGGCTCTTTAAGTGTGGTTTTCTACCAAAGTATAGGTACGTACAGATTGGGAGTAACTTAAAGTAAATAATGTCTATTTTTTGTGGGTTTTTTAATCTGCTGTCTTCAAGAACGTTTACTTATTCAGCTGAGTGCTGCATTTTTTTTGGAGAGAGTACTTGGGCATTACCTATGTATGTTACACAAATCTACACCGATCCTAATTGCAAAAAAAAATAATTTTCCTTCTAGTTTTTACTTTTTTAGTTTGAAATGATAGCAAAGTGAATGAAATCTACCTTTTAAATTGCTACATTGTTGTAGCGACTCTGCATTTAAATGCATCTCACTCTGTTCTATGTGGTATTTGCATATTTAGCAGAACAAAACAGTAAGTTGGTGGATTTGAAGCTGAAGAAGTTCCTAGAAGCTCAGCCACAGGTGGCAAATTCACTCTCCAGTGCTGCTCAGAAAGCTGTAACTGATAGCTCAGAGCAAGACATTAAGGTAAGTTTTGATTAATGCTTTTGTTTCAGTACCTGTGTGTTCCGATTTTGGGTTTGTACTTCGTGAGGAGGAAAATGATTTCTTATCAAATCCTTCACAGTAAGAAACACAGAAGATCTTCATGGCAGTGCAGTCGCATACTTTGCAATGCACTGTTTTTTTTCCTGTTGATTAATCAAAACATTTTCTTTTTTTTTTATCTTGGTACTTGTCATGGGCATAACAGCAAGAGATATAAGACACGTTTCTCAGTTCTTATTGCTCAGGTTGTCACTTAAATCAGAAATATGGCACGGGCTCCGTCCTGCTGCTGGTGCTGACTTTAGTGGGAGCAGGATTGGATTCTCAATGATTTCCTTCCCTTCCAAGCCTGACGCTCTGGTTTTTCTCCATTAAAGTTAAGCTGTGGTACACTTTAAAGGCATACATACTTGGGTGCTTGACGACGAGTGCTTCTGAGAAAAACAGACACGTGTATGAGGTTGTTTTGCCTATTCTTAATGTTCACCACTTCAGCATAAAGTGCACACCAATCAATTTTCCATTTCATTTTCTTAATCAGACCCCTTGTGTTCTTACTATTATATTTTTTTTAAAATAGTCCCTGTATGTCATTCATATCCCTGTGGCTCTGGGGCACTTCCAGTTGGGTATAACTTTTCACCCACCTGCAGTCTGGGGGGAAAGCACTGCTGACTGAAAGGATTTCCTTCCCCAGATACAGAGATGCTTTGAAGTCCCAAAACAATGACTTTCATTGCTTTTCCCTTACACTGTCGGTTCCTATAAATTGGTGATGAAAGTGTGTGGCAGCAGCAGAGGACTTTCGGTCTCTATCTTTGAACAAAAGGAAGCCTGGATCAAGTCTGATTTTTGCGTTCAATTTAGCTTTCTGCAGTGGATTTAATGCAAAATGAAGCTGGCCCAAGAATAATACAATGGATTGAAAAGGCTAACTGAATTAGTGGGCTTAGAGGAATACATTTGTAAAGTGGCAGAAGTCCCCAGTCATAAAAAGGTTTCTTAAAATGGGATTTACTGGCTAATCACACTGATATTTTAGCATGTTGCCAGGCCTAAAAAATTAGCCATGTTTGTTTATTTTGGTAAAGACTCTAGTTTAGGCTGTCAGATGGTTATTGTGCTAATAACAGGAAACCACCTTTTATTTAACCAGAATCATAACCACCCTATTAGTGCAGCTGAAAAGTCACCCGGAGTATATGAGCGATACTTTTTTTAAGCTTAATTCGACAAATGACACACGGCGGGCTACACCACATCTTAGGGTGATGCGGTATCACCTAACCTGACGAAAATGGCATTTCTGGTTATGAAAAGCTTCTGTGAAGGAGTTGCTTTTGTTTAAGGTACTCCCACAAAAGGTGCAACTTCACAGTTTATCTCTGTGTACGACTTTCTAAGGAAGAGTTGGAAAGCGGCATTCTAAGGAATATATGGTGTCCATCTGTTCTCATGGAGCTCCCGGCATTGAGGTGGATTTGTTTTTTAATAAAATGCAGTTTACACGTTTCTAAATGAGGCATTCTGTGTTTGTGGAAAAGGATAAACTGTTACCTTCCCTTGGGGATTGTGTATCCCCGGCCTCCTTGAGGCTAGAGAATAGGCCATTGGAGAACTCCCTCATTACCGATTGTCTCAATGCAGAGGAAGGGCAAAGTCTTGGTAGCTTTTGATAACCAGTTTCAGCATTCAGCAGGCTTAGCTATTAGTCATGCATCTTAGCCTTTCCCTATTTACTTTCAAAACACTTAATAAAAATAATAAAAGATTAGGTATAAAATGAAATATTTGTTTGGTACACAGCACCTCGGTATCTGTGGTTTCCACACGCTGCGGTGGTTCAGTCTTCTGGGATATTTCATGTTGATAGAACCATTTGAATTTGTTACCAGTATTAACATAGGAAGCCCTGGAAAAGATAATTGTAGTTTCCTTAGCTGTAAAGGGCTTACTTACAAATCTGGCTTTGGAAAGTTATAGCTGATGAAATGCAGTTCAGTGGGGTAGTATTATAATCCTACCTTTTAGCCTTCATCCAGCATTAGTGGTTTATCTCAATGGGCATAAAATTAGAAACTAGTTCTTCTTGTCATACAAGTCTGGGGGACTACAGAAAACGACAGATTTCTTTTCCGGGCAGGGACACAGGCTAAAGGCAACACGCTTTTAAAACGATACAGATCATGTTCAGGGGTAGAGACGCCGCTACTTGGCAGCAGCATGCACAGCGCTTAGCAAATCAAAGTTGCAAAGGAGTGATTTTTCGCTTAAAATCAGCATCGCTGGCAAATACAGGTCACGATTAATAGGTCTGGCTGTTAAATAAGTAGAGAGTCCTGCAGGAGGGTGCCCGCATAGCAAAAAGCCAGTCGTTGCCACCACACATTAAACAAAAAAACAAAAACAAAAAAAAAAAGGAAAGTTAATCGCTCCTCTCCTTTTTTTCCGCAGCTGATACTTTCATCCTATGTAAACCGCAGCTCGAGTTGTGAAATCCTCTTTGCAAAAGCTGCGTCCTGTCCCCTCGCCGAAACGTACCTTTCGAATTTGTGTCTTGCCATTTGTAAACAAAAGAAACTCTTGTGTGTCTGGGTTTTTTCCTAGCAGAATGGAACAGAGGAACATCGTGCTGAGCGATTACAAAAAGCAGCAGAACGGTTTAGAAATCCTGTTGTGTTCAGCAAGGACTCTACCGTCAGAAAAACTCAGCTCCAGTCTTTCAGTCAATACGTGGAGAGCAGACCAGGTAGGAGAAAATATAAAACCTGTTTTCCCATCTTATGATTTAATAATATTTAACAATAAATATATGAAAACCCGATAATGTAAGTCCACATTTCAATACATAAATATCAAGCTTTATAATAATTTTACATGTCTTTCCCCTTTTTTCAAGAGATGAAAAGGCAGAGATCAATACAGGAAGATACAAAGAGAGGAAATGAGGAGAAGGCTGCGATAACTGAGACTCAGAGGAAGCCATCAGAAGATGAAGTGCTTAATGTATATTAATTTTTTGTCTGGTTTCATGATTGCTGATAATTCCAAACTGTATGTGGAAATAGTGCCTTTATTTGTTAAAATGAGATGTTAGGTTTTTTTAGATGTCAATCTCCAGTGCATTCAAAGCAGAGTGAGAGGGGTGCACTGTTGAATTAGTCTGCAGTGTGGTGATAATTGTCAGATAAAAAAAATGAATTTTTCAGAGTTCCACAGCCCCAGCTTCCTTGAGACATTTCCATCAGGGCACTTCCCATAAAGAGATTCCAGTATTGATCTACCGGGAGGATTTTAATTATTACAATAGCAGATACCGCAGAGCTGCAGTTAGAGGGAAGAGTCACATGAGACCTGCTAGAATTTCTCAGCCAACCCATTTTGTTGGCTTGGGTTAATGGGTGTTCAACCTTTCCATTATCCAGATCAGCCGTGAATTACTAGCTGAATGATGTTTGCATTAATATAATATATATGGTAATTTCTTCACTTAATTAACGGGGAGGTTCAGCTCAGTAGGGGTATGGGCTGATCATGTGTAAAATTGATTTGTGAGGGAAATATTTGATAGACCGCAGGGAGAAAGCTGGTTTTGATGGACAGCTGCGGGACAGAAGCAGGAAGAACAAGTTTTAACCTGAATTTTTTTTTTGTCTGAAAACACAACATAGCCTTTGATGGTGGTCATTTGTTGCTCTCCACAATTTATCTAAACACATTTGTCATTTTTGCTGAAGCAATCTAGAGTTGAGTAGGGATTTTGTACCGCTGTCATACCTACACCAAAACATCGAACTTTTTACGAGCTGGAGCTATTTTTAGCCCAGTTGTACTTTTGCAGAGCTGAAAAGGTCTGGCACAGTAAGTTCACATTATATATGCAGATGATACACATGAACTCTTGGGATATTTCAGCCTGACGCAGCATTTCTTTTCATCCTCTAATAATATTGTTAACGATTATGCATGCTGACATTAGGGGAAGTTTTCATACTATTTTCAATTAATTATAGTTGATGAAAGGCAATATATTGCACATCACCTCAACTCTCCAGGCTGGGGTTTTATTTTTCATCAGGGACTGCTCTCAGGGAGTTTTGTTGTTGTTTTTTGGGCTATATGACAGGTAGAAAAAGGGTTTCCATTAGAGATGATACTGTTGGCTGTTGTGTAGGAAGAGAAGGACCAAATTAACGGGGCCATAATGTGCTTAAATTCAGATACCCCAAATTTCCAAGTTCTGTGCTCATTACTGGTCCTGGGAGCTCGGCCATGCCATTAGCCTTTGCTTTGAACATGTCTTTATTTGAAAT